TTAAAGCAATCATTGAAGAACTTTTGGAGATTACAGCATGAGTTGCTGTTACGTCCAACAGATGGCGCTGTTTTTTTTTTAAAACCTGTTTTTTCCTGTCACTGGTGAGGCATGTATACAGTGGGTCTTTAAAACCTGTGCCAATTCGAATGCCAAGTTTTGTCAAAATTTCAAAGCAATCGGTAAAGACGTTTCGAAGATTTCCTTCACATGAAAAACACTTGAAAAACACAGTTTCGGTGACTAGGGGCTTGGGTGACGTCGGGGTTAGGTTTGATCATCTGTATCCTAGTGGTTTCCTGTTCCCAGAGCTTGCTCACTCTAATCCTGCATCACCCAACTGGGTTACTTCTAAGGCAGGCTGTTCTGTGCCAAGTGTGGCTACTAATATATTTTTACTAAGTACTTTATCTTCAGGGGTTGACGTATTGAGCCTGAGTACCTGCCCGTCAGAAGATTACTGTGTGCAAAAATGTTACAAATGATTGCTCTGTATTTTCATCTTTTTAAGTATATAAGTATGCTAATAATCTGATCCAGTCAGAAACCCTATGTCCCAGATAACTTTAGCATTAATATGTTTAACGGATAAATTGATATGTTAGCTTTCAAATGTTGTAAAGCAGATGGCTTTATCTCTTATATTCTATCCTGAATAGACCTATAATAATTTTCGCAGCTGACGTGGGGCTCCACTACGTCGTAAGCTTGGGGTCCTGAGATAGTCAGGAATTCAGAAATGTTCAAAGTGACCCATGCCACAATTTAAAGTTCCTTTTTTTCTACCACTCTTTTGGCGACTATTCTTTGGGTGGAACATTCATCAAAGACAAAACCTGTCCTGACCTTGTTCCTTACCTGGTCTTGTTGCTGAGGAACTGCAGTGCAGTGTGCAGTTTTGCTACTAAGTTCGTTTTAGCCAACAATTCCGACACTGTGTTTTCCAATTTTTAGTATATAACTTGTGTGGAATAAACTTTTGGATTAGGTGAACATAAGGTTTCGGTCTCCTCTCCACATCAAACTGTATGATGATTTGCACGCTCAACACCATTTGGAACTCGCTGGTGTCAGATGGTTCTCTGAGATTGTCGTGAGCTTGCAAGCATCGTGTAAGGTATTTTTAAGACTCCTACACAAACAGTAGGAGTCTTAGAAACAAAATAGTTGATATAGTGCTCTTATCCGTGCAGAATGGCTAGATGGTATTGCAATAGCTTAAACGTAGATCAATGTAGAAAACAAGGTACTACTAGCTGAACAACAAATTAAGGGATTTAATTTCATACAGATAAACAGATGAGACGAGGAGTGGGAGTATCCATATGAGTCAGGGAACTTTTTTGTATTGTAGTGTTAGAGAGAGGATCAAAACTGAGCCGACAGAGACTATTTTGTTTGAATTATATTAAAATTATAATTATCTAATAATAAGAGACATACAGTCCATGAAACTTCGAGAAAATGGAAGCAAATATCTGGCATCTTGCTCAGTGTATATGTTACGGGTAAGTTTTAATTTTAATCGAATAAACTGCATTAACAAAACGGAGTACCAAAGCAGAAGATTTATAGAACTAGTTGATAAATGGTTCCTAAAAATAAATTTTAAGAAACAACCACGGGAAAATAGTATTTTAGATAGTGATAACTAACAGAGAGACAAAAATAAATGATAATGAAATATGGAGAGACCTAGGGAACAGTGATCACAAGACAATTAGATTTAACCTAGAATGAAACCGATGTGGCAGAAAATTATTTGATAAAGTGGCAGATTTCCGTAAAGCTGATTTTGATAGACTAGGGAATTTACTGAGAAGAATAGATAAGACCGACCTAAACATGCGAGGTGGGATGGTCTTGAGATGTGACGCGAAGCTGTAGGCTGGTGACGTGATAAGGAGATTCAAATTACAGTAGAGTAGGAGGGTTTCTCAGCATTTTCTGAGACTGTTTCCCATCTCTCCTACTGCTCTATCTATCCATCCATCTGCCTATCTATCCATATATCTATCTGTCCCTCTGTCCATATCAATATCTATTCAATCATCTATGTTTTCCTCTGTCTTTCAATCAGTCTATCTATTGATTTATGTATATAACTGTCTATCAATCAACTATATCCATCTATCTATCATTATATCTATCATTCTCTCATTATATCTATCATTCTATCAATTTATCTATCCATCCATCTACTCATCTACTCATCAATCAATCCATGCACCTATCCATCTATCAATCTATCCATCTATATATCCATCCATCAATCTATCCATCTATATATCCATCCATCTTTCTTTCTATTCATCAATCTATCCATCTATATATCCATCCATCTTTCTTTCCATGCACCTAACTATACATCTATCCATCTATCTGTGCGTTCTTTCGCCTATGAAATAAAGTTTGTAGTTAATGTATTGCGCTATAACTGGCCATTTTCTAACTTTTTTATTCTCACCATTTAAAATATATATTTTAAGTTAAACTTAATTAGATTTTATTTACATGTAATTAAAATATAGTATCATTAAATTTTTATTGTGAACTTGTTGGTTAGTATACATAAGAGTGCTCTATAGTGTGAGCTTGTTGGTTAGTATACATGAGAGTGTTCTATAGTGTGAGCTTGTTGGTTAGTATACATGAGAGTGCTCTATAGTGTGAGCTTGTTGGTTAGTACACATGAGAGCACTCTTTAGTGGGAGCTTGTTAATTAGAATACAAGTGAAGGCTCTATAGTGTTAACCTGTTGGTTAGTATAGAGTAGAGAACGCTCTTTGTAGTTAATATCATACTAAATCATTCACTTTGTTAGGGTTAGTGGTTTGGGTAAACAATTACCGAGGTGTTATTATCAGAACATTGTATAGGTTATGAAAATTGAGGACTTTAGCCAACAAATTGATACATAGGAGATACGCATTGATACATAGGAGATACACATTGATACATAGGAGATACACATTGATACATAGGAGATACACATTGATACATAGGAGATACACATTGATACATAGGAGATACACATTGATACACAGGAGATACACACTGATGCATACAGAAGTAGTAGAGTTTAGAGTGTGCGGGGAAGGGGGGAAGGGTGGTGCTGAGGATACTAGGAGAGTGTGCTGACAAGGTTGTGGTGTAGCTTCCCTGATGTGAGGTAGTAAACGTTTAATGAGGAAGATGACCATCTGTGAGGTACTCGATTATTTGAGTGGTAGTATATTATCTTCAAGTTTGATTGTCATTTGTAAGGCAGAAGACCGGCTGTCAAGTAGTTGACCAGGAGTCAAGTAGTTGACCAGGAGTCAAGTAGTTGACCAGGAGTCAAGTAGTTGACCAGGAGTCAAGTAGTTGACCAGGAGTCAAGTAGTCGACCAGGAGTCAAGTAGTCGACCAGGAGTCAAGTAGTTGACCAGGAGTCAAGTTGTTGACCAGGAGTCAAGTAGTCGACCAGGAGTCAAGTAATTGACCAGGAGTCAAGTAGTTGACCAGGAGACAAGTAGTCGACCAGGAGTCAAGTAGTTGACCAGGAGTCAAGTAGTTGACCAGGAGTCAAGTAGTTGACCAGGAGTCAAGTAGTCGACCAGGAGTCAAGTAGTCGACCAGGAGTCAAGTAGTTGACCAGGAGTCAAGTTGTTGACCAGGAGTCAAGTAATCGACCAGGAGTCAAGTAATTGACCAGGAGTCAAGTAGTTGACCAGGAGACAAGTAGTCGACCAGGAGTCAAGTAGTTGACCAGGAGTCAAGTAGTTGACCAGGAGTCAAGTAGTCGACCAGGAGTCAAGTAGTTGACCAGGAGTCAAGTAGTTGACCAGGAGTCAAGTAGTTGACCAGGAGTCAAGTAGTTGACCAGGAGTCAAGTAGTAGACCAGGAGTCAAGTAGTCGACCAGGAGTCAAGTAGTTGACCAGGAGTCAAGTAGTTGACCAGGAGTCAAGTAGTCGACCAGGAGTCAAGTAGTTGACCAGGAGTCAAGTAGTTGACGAGGAGTCAAGTATATGACCAGGAGTCAAGTAGTTGACCAGGAGTCAAGTAGTTGACCAGGAGTCAAGTAGTTGACCAGGAGTCAAGTAGTTGACCAGGAGTCAAGTAGTTGACCAGGAGTCAAGTAGTTGACCAGGAGTCAAGTAGTTGACCAGGAGTCAAGTAGTTGACCAGGAGTCAAGTAGTTGACCAGGAGTCAAGTAGTTGACCAGGAGTCAAGTAGTTGACCAGGAGTCAAGTAGTTGACCAGGAGTCAAGTAGTTGACCAGGAGTCAAGTAGTTGACCAGGAGTCAAGTAGTTGACCCGGAGTCAAGTAGTTGACCAGGAGTCAAGTAGTTGACCAGGAGTCAAGTAGTTGACCAGGAGTCAAGTAGTTGACCAGGAGTCAAGTAGTTGACCAGGAGTCAAGTAGTTGACCAGGAGTCAAGTAGTTGACCAGGAGTCAAGTAGTTGACCAGGAGTCAAGTAGTTGACCAGGAGTCAAGTAGTTGACCAGGAGTCAAGTAGTTGACCAGGAGTCAAGTAGTTGACCAGGAGTCAAGTAGTTGACCAGGAGTCAAGTAGTTGACCAGGAGTCAAGTAGTTGACCAGGAGTCAAGTAGTTGACCAGGAGTCAAGTAGTTGACCAGGAGTCAAGTAGTTGACCAGGAGTCAAGTATTGGACTTTTGAGGGAAATAGTGTGAGGAAAGTGGATGACTTATGAGGGACTTGGCTGATTTTCTCTGTCATACAATGAAGATTAAAGACATGGAGAATATTCATGTCAGCAGTTAGTGTTCTCTTCTTGTTACCATTTACATATAATATATGTTATTTGTTTTCTCTGTGGTCTCCCTGGTGGTCTGCCCTCTAACAGGTAAGTGCTTGCTGTGAAAATTGTTTTTCTTAAATGATATTCTTATTCCCAATTGAAGCACGTGAGACCTACGTCGCTTAAATGTTAGCATGTTACTTTCATTAATAAATGTTAGTGATTAAACTGTAACTCTTATTTATACAGGGTGTGATCAGACTGAGAGTAACTGGAACTGACAATGATGGAGTGACTCAATGCTCATTTCGACAGGAACTTCAACAGTTTACTGCTTGCAAACCATGGAATTCAGTTTTTGAGGTAAATTATTTTTTATGTCTACATAAATTAAAATTAAAATTAAAATACCTTACTCACAAATCTTTTATACACTTATAGTTGGGTTAGTTAATACAAATTTCCAGTAAATTATTTACTTATAGGAAGATAGAATAATAATATAACATATAATTCCCTTCACCTGGACTCTAGGAGACTCGAACCGTGGACCTCACGTGTGTGAGGCAGAAGCTTAATCGACCGAGCTATTGAGGAGTCTTAATAAGGAAAGTTTCCAGAAGCAGAATCCTGCTGCCAAACTGGAATTTTAAATTTTCCCCTGACTACTACTGCAGCTCAGAGGAATTAGTGATCCACGCTCACATCATAACGTGGGCGTGACTACGTCGTTTACATGACGCGCGAGTGACTCACTAATTCCTAATAACATTATAGGATTATGGTCAGATTCGACCAAAATTGGATGACCTTTACTCGTCAAATAGACGTCAAAGTGTTGAACAGCGCTCACCAGGGCCAATGTCTCTTTCTCTATCACTGAATAGTTTCGTTGACAATCACATAATTTCTTGGAATAATAAGCCACAAGGTGTTCTACCCCTTTAGCATTCTTCTGTGATAACACTGACCCGATACTGTAATCTAAAGCATCAACGGTTAATATGAATCTGTCCTCGAAATTAGGGGACATGAGAATAGGAGATGATTTCAGTACGGCTTTTTGGCTTCCAAAATCTATCAGACAGTACTTGGTCCACACGAACTTTGCTCCCTTCTTCAGGAGGGAGCAAAGCCTATTGCAATGCCTCTTTGTCACAGGCATTGCAATAGTTGAGAGTTTAGAAATGAACTTAGGGTAAAATCCAGCCATACCCCAGACCCGCAGAACCTCCTTATGTGTTGAAGGGGTCGGATTCTGAACGACGGCTTCTACGTTGCGGTTCTTAGGGCCGATCCATTCTCCACTAACCACATGTTCTAAAAAGATAAGAGATTATAACAAATTCCGACTTATGCAGATTGACTATCAACCGAGCTTGTTGAATAGCAAAAAGAAATGCTGTAACACGGGTTAGGGTTTCTCTCTCTACTTCTCTTGTCTTTCCTTCTTTGCCCTCTACCCGTATTCTTACTTTTTATTCTCTACCAAGGGACTCCAAAACTTTTACCAAAGCCAACTCCACGCCACGTGGTCCTAAGACGATTGACCGACTTAGGATTCTACAACCAGTATGGCGTGACCTAGGCTTTGAGCAAAACCCTAGAGTCACCTCTACGCTGCCACCACCAGACCAGTAACACAGCAATGATCGAGGTCTGGATCGATCATGCGAATTAATCAACCTTGGGGCTTGATCCCCACTATAACCGATGACCGTGGAAACTTAAGAGTGTGAAATTAATTACACGGGAATGATTCGATGTTAGAATCGATGTTAGAATCGGCGCCCAATCCAACTCTGCCTCGTGTGGACCACGTGACCAGGACAAGTATACACATAAAACACATGGAAATAATAAAAATGCAATTTATTCCCTAATTAATTTATTAAAAGAAAAACTAAAACAAAATCTAAATATGTTCACTCCCTGTCACTTTAACACTCCCTACTTGACCTGAGTGGCAATGAAGACTATTCCTATACATAACCATAGCAACTATACCTTGGGCAACCAGCTAAAGATGTTGGGCTGGTCTTGGGGAGAGGTAGATGGTTGACCTCTCCCAGTCGCTCTGGAGTCCACACTGATCTCTCCTCGTCAACTTGTAGTTGAGACGTTGTTCTGAATCTATAATTCTTGTATTTCTTGGATGCACTGAAGGAATATTGTCTTCTACAGGAACCACCAAACTTGTAGTAGAATCTTCTATGAAATCAGAAACATCAAGTGGTTCTATGTCCTCAATGTCCATTTCAGAATTTGTGGTTGATGAGTGGGCTTGAGGTGTTGAGGTGAACAGAGGACGCCTCGCACCAGATGTGCCGGGTGTTGAAACTGCGGCATCAGCAGGAGGAGCTGCGCTGGCATCTATGTCGGGAACATGTGGTATGCTTGTTGTTGTTGGCCATTCCTCGCCATGTGTTCGGTGAGGGAGAACAGGAATTTCATGGAGAAAAATCTGAGAGTATCCCCATCCATTTCGGTTAAAAAATGGAATTTATAGAAATATTTTTTCGATGGACGAGAAAAGTAGGCTGTTATGCGGAATCGTAAGAAAAAACGGCGACGAGTTATCTCTAATCTAAAGCGCGAAAGTGTTAAATATATAATTATTCCATCACCATAAATAAATATATAAACCGTCACAAGCGGGGTTGCTATTACTACACTTATTTACAATAACTTCTTCGAAGACACGGGATGCTCCACGGTGCTCAACGATGCTTAGTCCTTCGTCCTCTTCTCGTGGCCTCATGATGAATCCTTAGATTCTTCTAGTGAGTCTACCCCGGCCACAGGCCAGCCAAATCACAGTCCCACTGGGTGCACCGTCGTGGAGGCCGTCAACCACAAATCCAGCCTGTAGCTGGCAGGTTCCAATCAACTACGCTGCGTAGGCCACTCCACGACCGATACTAGGGTTGCAAGCCCTAGGCAGGAGCCTCCTGTGATTCCACAGATCACTCTCCTCACCACAACACCCCAGTGGCTAGTCTTCTCCACCAGTCAGCCCCGGGTACGACAATCCCTGGTTCTGCCACCTCACAGGCAGGCTAACACAACAGTGTTCATCCGGGGGGGGGGGGGGTGACTCACAGCTTCTACAGCCAACTCGTGGAGATCCTACGGCTGCCTTGGGGAAACTGATCCACCGTCAGATTCAGCTGTCCCAGGTCGACTCTGTAATCAGACACGTCATCAGTACTGGTTACACTCTAGGGCACCTCACCTACAGGCTTAGACGCAAACGCCCACCTATCCACTCCATAGATGGCGTTGCTGTCTAAGCGTCACCTCACCAGAGGTCAGCAGCGGCTATGTCATGAGCTGATTAGGACGGGAAACCAGCCCCTGTGGCCGGTATATCTTGTCCTCACTAGATGGTGCTGTCCATTTGGAGGGGGTTTCAGGAGCTGACCCACAGATGGCGCGGTCGTCACTGCTCCTTGCTCGGACGCTGGGCTCGGGTCCTTAACAATAGAGACGACATTTTTCATTTCAAATGGAATCACTTGACACTCAGAAAGACAATCAGGAGTTACAAAAGCAGAAATAGGTTTGGCACGCTCTGTCAGAGGTACCTGCCAATATCCCTTGAAGAGCTCGAACTTAATGAGGAAGGTGGATCTACCAATGGTATCAATACACACTTTTATCCTGGTAAGTGGATATGTATCAGCTACTAGTAATAGGCATCCATCAGTCTCGGGAGACTATGGAGTTTCTCTCTGGTTGACGGTCAAGAGTGGCCTCTCCAGGGCGCAAAGCCAGGGTAGGTTGATATGGAGAAGAAGCTGTTACCCAAGTAGCAGGTTCCCCCTCTCCACGGCGCCGAAGGTCTCCAATGGAAAGGCAAACGCCAATACGATTTGTTCCATCGCCGTCACAGGAACTGTGAGCTCCGGAATTGACCTTGAAGTTGGTAAAAGAAGGCACAGGGACCCCAAACCCGGAGACCGCCGTGGTCGGGGCCGGAGAAGAACCATCACAGCAAGAGCAAGAACGACTCCAGTCTCCTGAAGCAGAGCCTGGGACAGCACGAGCCCCAGGGATTTTTTGTTTTTTTTATTATTATTTTTCTACCACAGACGTGGCCACACATTTCCAATGCTAACCAGCATATATACATTTTCTTCTGTCCTCCATGGACAGACAGGGTTAGAGATGTGTTAAACATATAGTTCAAGGGTTGGTGGACGTCCCGGTCCCGCACCTACGGGTTCCAGACAGAGATAATCACAGCCCTCCTTCAACCGAGGTCGGCTTCCGTCAAGAGCAAGCAGAAGGAAGAGTGATATTTATTAAATGCAATTATTATATTTATTAAATGCAATTATTATATTTATTAAATGCAATTATTACAATTATTATTATAATGCAATTAACAATTATTATTATAATAAATGTTATAATAATATAATTATTTAATAATTATCACTCTTCACTCACTCTTTTATCCTGGGAAGTGGATATGAGTGATACTATGACATATGACATTGTTAACCTGTCTGTAATCTATGCATAACCTTAGCTCATTACCAGGCTCGGGTACTAGAAGATCGGGGTGTGAGATTTTGATCTCAGACAGAAGGTCTGCACAGAAGCAATCATGTAAAGTATCAGATGTGAGATATAACTTCCAAATGAAATATAGGCGAGAGCATCCGCCATAGTCCAATTTCCTGGTACTCCTATCCACTAGGTTGTTAGCTCCTCAATTGCTTGTAGGAATCTTAAGAGTAACTATGAGGTTCTCACACCGAAATTATATATATTCAGTGACTGGCCTTTCACTAGGTTCGAATCCAGCAGCCGACACAGATTAAGTGCAAGATATCTGGAGCAGCTTGTAGAGGACAATGATTAAAGACAGTACACTTGAAAGGTACTGGCATAAAGTCACTTATTTGGCAACGACAACAGTTTATTAACAAAACATAATAATATTCAAGGCACAACAATTTAGCGATACGTTAATGTCCTGAGTGACACTTCACAGCTAACAATGCCAATGCAGTTGGATGACATCCCACCGCTCTCGGCTGGTATAATGAGAGCACGTCTCACCTCTCTTCCACGGCCAAGGAAGGACAACATGAGCTAACTAAGCACCTGTATCCACTCGGAGTCAATTGCAATAAAAATACATGCAATAGAAAACAATTGGAACAATCCAAACAAATAACAAAACAATCAAACAAAAGAAAACTTATCACTGAGACAGTCTTCAGTATATAAAATTAATTACGTTTATACATGCTTCTATGGACGGCAAGCAATTAAAGACAATTAACCAATAAGGTTAAAGTTCTATTACATAGAGAAGAACAATTGATTACATTCAATTAAATCGTAAT